TTGACCTGAAAAGTGTGAGGTATCACCATAGTCCCAAAGGGGAACCGAGCATCTCGTAAATTAATCTGTCAGGTGTGGGCAGGGGCAGTGCTACATATAGTGTAATCTCCCTTATTGTGAAATAAACAGATGAACTTTTGGCAGAAATCACAAGTCAGGCATGGAGTGGCAGCCTCTGCTTCAGAAGCACAGAATCCTTTCCTTTGTACCCCCTCTATGATGGCTAATGTGCTGCCAGTCTAGTATGGTGATGAATCCAAGTGGAAATGAGAAAATGGCAGTGCAGCAAGCAGTGAATCACGATCAACAGCTTGATCCCAGTCAGTGTCATCATATAATGGGCCCTTAACACGGGCATCTATGTGAGTGACAGACAGTTTGAGCAGCTACGATTTTGTTTCCATGATTAGTTTCAGTTTGATGAAAACTTTGCTAGGTGCTTGGCAGTGTTCTTGCTACCCACTTTGTCCATTTCACATAGGGTGGCTGCAGGACTCAGCAACCATGGCACCTTGTTTTCCACCTGCAGTTGCGATGTCTGCACCATTGGCTGACCTGGATCAGTCTCTAGCTGAAGATTCCTCAATTTTGTTGGTCTTTTAAAAAACTTTTGGATCAGTTTCTATTCTCTATTTCACTTATTTCCACTCAAATCTTTATTATTCTCCCTTTATTATCTTTCCTTCTACTTGTTTTTGGTTTGTTCTAGTTTCTTAAGGTGAAACATTAATTTATTGATTTGAGATCTTTTTTTTTCTTTTTAAAAATTTTTTAAAGATGATGATGAACCTTTATTTTATCCATTTACTTATATATGGTGCTGAGAATTGAACCCAGTTCCTCACACATGCTAGGCAAGTGCTTTACCACTGAGCCACAACTCCAGCCCTTTTTTCCTTTTTTAATATAAACATTAGAAGCTATACATTTCCCCCTAAGCATCACTTTGGCTGCATTCCATAAAATTTTCTGCATTGTTTTCATTTTAATTAATCTCAAAGTATTTTCTAATTTCCTGTGTGATTTCTTCTATGACCCATAGATATTTTAGGAGTATGTTGTTGAATTTCTGTATAAAGTTTCCTAAATCCCTTTCTGTTATTGATTGCTAATTTCATTCGATTATGGAATGAGAATAGATTTTGTATGAGTTCAATCTTTTTCAATGTATGGATCCTTAGAGAGTTTTCAGACCTCACATACGGTCAATCCTGGAGAATATTCCATGTGCATTTCAAAAGAATATGAATTCTGCTGTTTATGGAGTGTCCTATAGATGTTTGTTAGAACGTTGTTTGGTGTCTGTCTGACTTGCATAGCTGTGACCTTTGTTTTTTAAAGGAAGTGCTTAGGGGAAAATTTATAGTTGTTAATGTTTACATTGAAAAGAAAAAAAAATCTCAAGGGCTGGGGATGTGGCTCAAGCGGTAGCGTGCTTGCCTGGCATGCGTGCGGCCCAGGTTCGATCCTCAGCACCACATACAAAGGTGTTGTGTCCGCCGAAAACTAAGAAAAATAAAATATTAAAATTCTCTTTCTCTCTCTATCTCTCTCTCTGTCTCTTTCTCTTTAAAAAAAGAAAAGAAAAAGAAACTCGAAGAACAAACCAATACAAGCAGAAGGGAGGACAATAAGGATAATCAAGATTTGAGTGCAAGTAAGAGAAATACAGCAAAGCGACAGGGAGAATCAACTAATTCAGAAGTTAATTATTTGAAAAGAATTGACAAACCTTTAACTAGAGACCGAGCCACTCAAACCCAGGTCAGCCAATGGTGCAGACCTCACAGCTGTTGATAGAAAGTGATATGGCTGTGGTTGTTGAGTCCTAAAGTCTCCCACAGGTGAAATAGTCTTTAATAAGCACACTGCCCAACAACATGCATCGATGGCAAGCCAGGCGAGCACGCTACCGCTTGAGCCACATCCCCAACCCCTTATAAAAGAATCTTTATCTTAAGAAAAGAACTAAGATCTTTCCCCGTTTGGGGCGGTTTGTTTTGGTTTTGGTGGGAGGATGCAGGGATTGAACCCAGGTTCTTAGGCATGCTGAGTATCTTAGGCATGCTAAATACATGCTCTACCACAGAGCTACACCCCATCCTTTACCCTATGCTGAAAGGGGATGGGAACTTCTGTACTTCCGGGATCAGTGTCAGTACTGCTTGTTTCAATGAGGCAGACCTGCATCTGACTGTGAGAAGCTATCTATTCCTCCCCAGGACAGATTTATGCAGGATATGCAGGAGGGGTATTGGGGATTGAACTCAGGGGCCCTCAACCACTTAGCCACATCCCCAGTCCTATTTCTTGTATTTTATTTAGAGACAGACTCTCACTGAGTTCTTTAGTGCCTCACTTTTGCTGCGGCTGGCTTTGAACTCATGATCCTCCTGCCTCAGCCTCCCAAGCTGCTGGGGTTACATGCATGTACCACTGCACCTGACCCTACTCTACTTTTAAACAAACTAGTTAAGACTGACACAAGTTCATGGATGCTGGCAAAAGACACAAGACTTCTGGGATGAAGACAAAGGACTTTATTACAGCACAGCAAGCAACATGAATGTAAGCATATCTGTTACTTCCCCCTTCCAAGTCTATTGAAGGGGGCCTGCATAGATGCCTATACATGGTGAGTTGAATTACAGAGAACCCAGGTCTTTTATAAGGGACAGTGGGTATAGCAGCCCTTTGCTCTAGAAGGAGCCAATATTTCTACAGTCCAAGGCTGTACACTATACAAACATACTTGAAGATAGTTCAGAATAAAGGTACATACTCTTTTGTGTCTCTGCTCCTGCAAAACCTGCATAAATGAGAGATTGGTAGAGAACAGTTGCCTAGTACTCTTTACTCACATCTCCTCGCTACATCCTCACACAATCCTGCCAAGTAAACATAAGTAGCTCTGTTTCAGAGGAGGAACTGAAGTCTGGAGAGGTGAAGACAATTCCTCCAGGTGACAGAGCCAGTAAGCAGAAGATCTAGGATCAAACTCAGGCCTGCCTGATTCCAGGCCTATGTCTTGTCCACCCTACAGTGGATCTTGAGGCAGGAAGAAGTCCTGAGAGAGGAAGGGGATAGAATTCCCTGGAGTAGTGGGTCAGGAAGAAAGTAGGAACAGTAGGAAGAGATGAGAGAGAACAAGGATTTTATTTGTAGGATCTTGGAGACCATAATAAGGACTTTGGACTATTGTTTATGTGTAATAGGGAGATGCCAGCTAGTTCTGAGCAAATATAACATGCCATATGTTTTAAAAGACTTATTCAAGTTTCCTACTCTGTGAAATGGTGACAACAGAACAACAATATGAGGAGAAAATGAAAGGGGAAAAATGGGAGGATAAATGACCAGTTGATACCAGGCAGAACAGGAGTTGAGTGAGTCTTGATGATGACACAGAGGGTACACTGGGGAATTCAGGATGGGCAGGAACTGGAGACTGTAATGGCCTGGAAAGTCTGTGCATATAGGCTGGAGTCCAACAGATGGTTCAGGGACAGTTTCTACAGTCAGTCTGGCAGAAATGAATCGGGATGCAGGCCCTGAGTTAAGTACATTGCTGCCCAAGAACCTGTTGATGATGGAGAGAGTAAAGAGGTACACAGGGCTCTCCTAGGAGGCAGCAAGAGTGAAAAAAATGGCAGTGCCAGGGGGTCCTGTAGGAGGAAGATGGGATTGGTGAAGGGCATTACAAGTAAGATTAAGAAAGCATATTTTGCCGGGCATGGTGGGGCACGCCTGTAATCCCAGTGGCTCCAGAGGCTGAGATGGGAGGATCATGGGTTCAAAGCCAGCCTCAGCAAAAAGTGAGACACTGGGCTGGGGATGTGGCTCAAGCGGTAGCGCGTTCGCCTGGCATGCGTGCGGCCCGGGTTCGATCCTCAGCACCACGTACAAATAAAATAGAGATGTTGTGCCTGCTGAGAACTAAAAAATAAATATTAAAAATATTCTCTCTCTTTCTCTCTCCCTCCTCTTTCACTCTCTCTTTAAAAAAAAAAAAAGTGAGGCACTAAGCAACTCAGAGAGACTCTGTCTCTAAATAAAATACAGAATAGGGTTGGGGATGTGGCTCTGTGGTCGAGTGCCTCTGAGTTCAACCCCTAGTACAAAAAAAAAAAAAAAAAAAAAAAAACATGTTTTGTCCAGGGAAGGAGGTTTCGGATGCGATTTGGGGGGGTCTAGTCCTAACTCCTTTTTTACTGTCCTGGTTTACAGCCTTGAGACCTAGCAAGTTGCACATCTAGGGACCCCTGCCTACCCCATCTGCTTCTAATCTAATAAGGAGGTAGATGCACCTAGAAAAAGAACACGAAAGAAAGGGGAAAATCATAAAGGCCAATGTTCAGGGAGTACCAGCAACTTTCACTTGCAATCCACTTAAGAAAAGCCTAACGGTCACAAGTATATGTAATAAGTACCCCATCCCCACTCCAGAGCGGCGCGGCTGGAACCTGATCTGCGCATGCCCAGCACAAAGCGGGTTTTTCAGTCAGCAAACTTTCTGAGGTCATAAACTTAAAAAAAAAAAAAAAAAAAAAGGTCTGCTTAGGGACAGGCTTTGCATTAGTCCCAGGAGTCCCAGGTCTTGGCACTAGGTGGGGGTAGAACATGTGACAGACTGGAACTCTGGACGTGCAGAAGGGGAGGGTCTTGAAATAAGCCGACAATGATCCCCGCTGGTCCAAGTGAGGCTCCACACGCGCGCAACCACGGTGGCGGTGGTTGGTTGGGATTACGACACTGCCCCGCCGGCTCAGCCTGTGAGGAAAGGACAACCCCAAGTCAGGCAGAGGCCAGCGAGGGCTTTTCAAATCAAGTGGTCCCCTCAATTCGCGGAGGGCAGGAAAAGCGACCTAGCGAGCTCACTCCTGAGCCCTACGACGCGAGCAGGATTTCCCCGAACACGCCCCTCCAGTTTCTGTCTGCCAGGTTCTGGGTGACTGACGCCCTTCCCGGGTAAGGTCGAGACTGCTGCAGACACGCCCCACTGTGGGCAGAGCGAGATCTGAGGACTCCTGGGATGCGTCACTTCCGCCCTCATCCTCAGGCCCCTGTGGAAGGGGCGGGGGCGCGGCGAAGGCGCTCTGCTTGTGCGACATTTCCGGTGAGCCCAGCGGCGACAACGGCAACATGGCCCTGAACGGCGCTGGTGAGGACTTGGGCTACGGGGGCCTGTGGCTGCGGGGCGCGGGAGCCTGCTCGCTCCGGCAAGATCCCAGTCTCTTGTGCCTGTCTTCCCCAGAAGTCGACGATTTCTCCTGGGAGCCCCCGACTGAGGCGGAGACGAAGGTGCTGCAGGCGCGACGGGAGCGACAGGATCGCATCTCCCGGCTCATGGGCGACTACCTGCTGCGCGGTTACCGCATGCTGGGCGAGACGTGCGCGGACTGTGGGGTGAGGAGAGGCTCGGGCGAGTGGCCGGCGATGGGCCCGCGGGCAGGCCGCATGGCCCCTCCTCAGCCCTCCCCTTTGAATCCCATCGCCCCGCTTCTCACCCTACCCCGTGTGCTTTCTGGTCCAGACGATCCTTCTCCAAGACAAACAGCGGAAAATCTACTGCGTAGCTTGTCAGGAGCTCGACTCAGACGTGGATAAAGATAATCCGGGTGAGGGGTCCTATGTGCTCGGTGGGGAATTGTTGTGGTGGTAGATGCCCAGAACAGTAGGCCTGGGAGGTGACAGTGGAGTCTGTGGGTGGGCAGACTCCAAGATGCTTTCTCCTTTAGGCTCTGGAGAGGACCATTCATTGAGAACACTAAGCACCTCCTGTTCCCACACTGCGGGAGAGTCTGAGTGCAATCAGGCACAGTCTTGATGGGCCCATCAAGTTAGGGCATAAAAAACTGTGATACAAAAATAGAAAGTGGGTTGTGACTGAGAGTGTAGCTCAATGAAGTGCTTGCCTAACATGTCCAAGGCTCTGGGCATAGTTTTAAAAATCTGCAGCAGAGTTTAAAAAACAAAACAAAACAGTAAAGAGCACAAATAGAGGGTTCCTGGGTGTGCCAGTCATTCTGACCATTCCACCCACTTTCTTCCCTTTTTAGCTCTGAATGCCCAGGCTGCCCTCTCCCAAGCTCGGGAACACCAGCTATCCTCTGCCACAGAGCTGCCCTCTGGCCCTAGGCCCACACCTCAGCCCCCAGTACCACGACCGGAGCATTGTGAGGGAGCTGCAGCAGGGCTCAAGGCAGCCCAGGGGCCACCTACTCCTGCTACTGCTCCAAGTGCAGATGTGGTGACTTGCACACAGGCAGCCCTCCTGCAGAAGCTCACATGGGCCTCAGCTGAGCTGGGCTCTAGCACTTCCCTGGAGACTAGCATTCAGCTGTGTGGCCTTATCCGGGCCTGTGCTGAGGCCCTGCGCAGCCTGAAGCAGCTGCAGCACTAAGACCCAGCCCAGCCCAGCCCAGCCCAGCCCACCCCCGAAAAACCCTCTAGAAAAGTCGATGTTCCTGTGTGTTTTTTTTTTTTCTTTTTTGGTTCTAAATGTGCATGCCAGCCCCAGCTCCACTCCCCTTTTTCCTACTTTTGGCCTCTCACCTCCCTACCCTATACTTCTCCTGAAGCCCTG